TGCAAACCAGGCAAAGGAAGGCAGCATAACCCAGTTAAGCAAACTCCCAAAGTTCTTCAAGGAATTATTAAAATATAAGACAATAACTGCTTTTGAAAGTCTCCTTTAAATATCAAGTTGAATAATGCACAGTTGAAATAACTGGAAATAGTAAAGAGAGAGGGAACAGTGGTCTTGGCCAGGAATAGAGAACACACCCCTACAGTGTGAGCAGTTTTGAAGAAGCTCTTGCTGAGGCATGGTTTAAGGAAATCAACAGAAATGGTACCGTTTCCAAGAGCAGCCCTGTTTCCAAACCCAGGCTTGAGGGGAGAATGAAAAGATCCCTTCCTACAGCTCACGGGTACACAGAAGAGGACTTTCTGTGACATGGCCAAACCTCATAATCTGGCTGGGAGAGAGCCAGGGCTGTTCCCTGTCCAGCTAAGAGTGTGCAGCCGCAGACACAGGTCTCTGCAGGGACAGAGATCATGCCCGTGCTGGTTAGGAAGGAGGGGTCCAGCCAGGATCACTTAAATAACCCTGATCTAGGGAGTCACCCCTTCCTGGCTCCACCATGCCTGTGACTTCTCATCCACGCTTGATCCTTCCTGGCCTCCCCAACACCCCCTCAAACCCCGTGCTAAACTTCACCCAATAATAGGCAGCATCACCAGGCAGGGTTGGAGTGACGGTGTCTGTTTAAACATTACTAGGTAATGTGTAAAGGGTGAAGTATTTCTTTTGTTAAAGATTTTTTTATTTATGCATACAGAACTGGGGTACAGGCCAGCGGTGTGGTGGGTGAAAAGGAGTCACCAAAGACAGAGTGGGGAGCAGAACAGTTAGATTAACAAAATACACTGCTGAGGAGAGCAGCAGGCGGGTCAGGAGAGGTCTGCCACGCCATGTGGACCAGCTCCCTGACTGGGGATCGAATTTGTGCTGCAGTGCTTTAACCCCATAAGGGTGAAGTTTAAATAGCTTGCTTTCCGGAGTTCTGGTAGCCCACATGTGAAACTGAGCAGGGTATCAAAACAGTCACGCCAACAAAATGCATCTAAACGTTAGGAACGCGAATGGCTTTATCCCTCTGAGTTTCCTCCTCTGCATAATAGAGGAATGAATATCTGATGGTTCTGACTTGGCGTCAGGAACAAAGATAATGTACACGAGAGTGCCCAACACACTGTAGGTGCTGGGTAGTTAGGTTTGTCCTACTGCCGAGCAGTGACTTTTGGCAAATGACTTACTTGATTGAAGACCAAGGGGCTTTCCAGTCAGGCCAGCTAGAGACTCTGTGGTTCTGGCAGGTTCCTTTGGAGAGATCCTTCCTAACTGGCTGGACCTTGGACCCCAGACAAAGACAGTGAACTTGGCTCTCCAGCCCTGACCATAAAAATGTGTACAGCATGTGGTATCTATTTCATAGTAGGTTCATTCTTCCTTCTGTTAATTTGGGGGGAGAAAAGGGAAAGGGTTCGTCAACTATACATTGAAAGCCAAAGAGAGCTTCACACCAAGAAGCTTCAATGCCAGTTTTCTGTCCAGTTTAATATTTCAAAACCCAAAGGCAATGAGATGAAGCCGATGGAGGGCTGAGTTTAATGCAGTCTCTTTAGCGCTTGACAACCAAATGGTATCTCAACAGCCTCCTGTCCCTCTCCCAACCTTCCATCTCCCCTTTTCAATTTAAAATGTCACTGTCTGCTATTCAACCTGATGAAAGTTATGGCGAGGGAGAGAGTTAATGACTGTAGATTGCTTGAAATTGAAAAACTCAGGGGTGTCAGGGCGCCACCTTGACAGCTGAGCGCTTCCCCTGGAATAGCCTAAGTAATTAACTTTAATATTTAAGCCAAGTGTAAGACCAGACAGAACATTTCCAGAAGGCACTTTGCTGGAAGCCCAAATAAGCACAATGCTGTGCATGTGACCTTCTATGAGGTGCAGAATTACACATAAAGAACAGCAAGTATACTGGAAAAGCCTCACCGTCTTTTACTCTGCTCCCAAATCACATCTGCCCCTCCATTGCAGACATGTATTGAACTCCTGTGTGCTAAACCCTGAGCCTGAGCTAGTTTATGGAGAGCAAAAAAAGGTTAACAAATAGCCTCCTCTCCTTCCCGGAGGGAAGAGCCATGCATGCAAGAGAAAACATCTTTGGTAAATAGTACATGCAAGATTACAGTTGGTGTGTACTTGTCTTCAACCCATCTTGAAAAAGCAGGAGCATATTCTCACTTTAAGACTCCTATCATTCCAATGTAAATGTTCTTTTATTTGTTACTTCGATATGCTATATAACTGAAGGCTTTTTGGGGAGGACTTGAGAAATACATGGTTCTAGAATTTTCTGATTTGCAATGTTCTACTTTGCAATGTGCTGGATTAATCAGGTTTTATAGTATTGTATTTTTTTCTCCCTTACAACTGAAATTCTAAGATTAAGTGGGAAAACATGAATATGTTTTATACAAGCCATTAGGCTGCCTTTAAAACAGATCGCCAAAGAAATGGCAGTAACTATCTTCTTTAAATGTCAATGGGATTTGAAAATCAGGTTGCTGGATGGGCAGGCTAGAGACCTCAATTCTCCAGTCTTGCTTTCACCTCATCATATCACAATGTTAGGGCTCCTTCTCTGTTACTCCCTGCTTACTGTAAGAACAGAAGTTTGAATAATGGTAAGGAAAACTAATTCCAGCAAACGTTCTCTTTACCCTTGCTAATTAGCAACCAAGTAAACAAATCTCACAAAACAAAGGTCTCCTCTTTGATACACCAAACACATAAATTGTACCTAAGACCTTATACTGTGAGTAGTTCTTGTTTTTCCTCCTGGTTAAATTCAGCGAACTCATGATTATTTATGAAATGTTATTTACTATGCAACTGAAAGATATGAACGACCCTCGAGTTGATTAGTACTATTGTGAAGACAGTCTTCCTTGCATAGTTTTAGATTTCCATACGCTAAAATCTTGGGGGAGTCACTTGAAACGGCACTCCTTAATTATTCCCAGAGCTTAGTTGCCTCCAGGCTCTAAGGACTCCAGTTTGAAGAAAGTCAAATACGGAGATGTATGAATACTGCCATCTAGTGGCAACTAGGTGAAGTTCACAAACTAGCAGAAACACCAACAGCAATTATCAAGTCTAAGAATGCGAGAAATTACCCAGACGTTTCTTCGGTTGTATACAGGGATGCTGAAGACACTTCCTCTCCATGCAACTGCAAGAGTTGGTAGGATTTTAACAAGTATTGGATGAGAAGGCATCATAGGGGAGCCCTGGAATCCTTTCTAGGTGCCTCTCTCATATGACTCTGTATAGGCGCCTTCCTACAACTTGTGATTACATTTGGGAGACTCACCTCAATATCCTTCTTCTATCCTCCTATACAATAAGATTTTGGGCCCTCCCTGTTGGCTCAATGGGTTAAAGTGTAGCAGTGATGTTAGCCGCAGCCACTGCAGCACAAGTTTTATCCCCAACAAGAGGTGACCCACATGACGCAGCAGACCTCTCCTGTCTCACCTGCTGCTCCCCTCAGCAGTGTACTTCAGTTTGCCTGTTCTGCTGCCCAGTCTGTCTCTAGTGAATCCTCTCACCGCCCCTGCACCTCTAGCCTGCAAGCCAGTTCTGTATGCATAAATAAATAATATTTTTAAAAAATTTCAGGTGTCATGTTATTGGTTGAATTGTGTTCCCTAGTAATAATATGTTGAAGTCCTGTGGTCCCAACCCTAAATGGCCTTGTTTGGAAACAGGGTCATTGCAGACGTGACTGGTTGAGATGCAGTCATACTGTAGAATGATGGGTGCCTCAGCCAAGGGACCAGGGGCCTTGTAAGAAGACAGCTACCACACAAAAAGATGGGGGCAGGAAAAACACCCAGGCATGCGAATTCTATAATCAGCCCCCAGAGAATGTTGACTAGAGGAGACCAATGCAATGCTGGTGGCTGAGTGAGTGGCATCTGTGAGCAGTACCCAAGGAGTTCATTCAAGGCTCATTTTTGTACCCAAGTGCCCAGGACGCCAGCTATGCCATCTTTAAGACTTCACCTTCACCAGCAAAGTAAATAGTAGTAAGATCAGTAATTATCACAGTAGTCTCAACAGTTTGCCCTGTTGATGAATATCAGCTTTAATCCAAATATAACAATACAAAAAAAAATACTCATTACTAACTAAACCTCTCCTTTTCCCAAAAACAGCCCAGATCTAGTGCTCTGAGTCCTGTGGCTTCATTTGTACCTGTTCCCTCACCCATTACCTGCCAACATTTTTGAGTGAGGAAGTATTTCCTTCCTTCAGTTTGATCTAGCATCCTAGAGTGCCCAAATTCCCTTTGAACTGCATTTCTTTTTCTTTTTAAAAATTTTTAATAGTACTTTTGATCAAGGTAACGTGCAGTAAGTTCTCCATAATACAGATTCAAAGACTAAGTGAGTATAATCAAGGCCTCCCTATGCTTACTGTACAGGACATCCAAGGGGCTAATAAGTGAGCTAAAAAGACATCAACACTTAATGTTACTGGCTACATTGCCAGAAGCAATTCCAGTGCAGCCCTTTTCCCCTTGGAGGCGACTTTCTAGGGAAAAAAGAAACTAGCAGAAGGAAGATAAAATAATAGCAAAAGGTAGGAGGATTCTAATGGAAACTGACAAGTGGCTGAGAAGAGATGGAGAGTCCCAGCTCTCCGCCTCTCTCTCCTGCCCACCTTGGCACCCCTCTGCCCCCCTCAGCTTGCTCCTACCCCTACGATCTTCCTAGCTTCTCTCCCCTGCCAGCCCCCTCCTCCCTGTCCCTGCCTCCTCTTGGTCCCCGCCCACCTCCCCAACGGGCCCTTTTCCTTGATTAGTCCAGGAGGCCCGTGATTTCCCCTTACTGGAGTCCTCGCGCATTCCTCTTCCTCCCGCTCAACTGTCCCGCTGCGCGTGCGCACCAGCGCCAGGGTAGGTGCCTAGGTGCCGCCTCAGACCCTGCGGGTGAACCCCGTTGCCCACCATGGGAAATGAGGCCAGTTACCCAGCACAGATGTGCTCTCATTTTGACCACGATGAAGTTAGAAGTCTGTGCAAGAAGTTTAAGAAGCTGGACTTGGACCATTCGGGCACAGTAAGCTTGCAGGAGTTCATGGCTGTACCTCAGCTGCAGCAGAACCCATTGGTGAGGCGAGTCGTCGACATCTTCGACATCGACGGCAATGGAGAAGTGGACTTAAAGGAATTCATCTGGGGCACCTCCCAGTTCAGTGTCAAGGGAGATGAGCAGCAGAAATTGAGGTTTGCTTTCAACATCTACGACATGGATAAAGATGGCTTCATCTCCAACGGGGAGCTCTTCCAGGTGCTGAAGATGATGGTGGGGACCAACCTGACCGATTGGAAGCTCCAGCAGCTCGTGGACAAAACCATCATCATCCTGGATAGAGATGGTGATGGGAAAATATCCTTCGAGGAATTCAGTGCCGTTGTCAAACACCTGGAGATCCACAAGAAGATGGCCTTAATTATGTGAATATTTAAGCCCCTGCCCCCTAACTTCGGCTTTCTTTTCTCTTTCAAGATCACCTCAAACCACCTAGCAAGTGTCACTCTAACTAAACGAAGTATTTCTCTCCGTGAAGCCACATTTTCGCTCGTGAATTGCATGACCAACTCGGTGTCATTAGGTAATTCTCCCAGTGATTCAGGCTGACACCCTGATGGGAGAGAGAGAGCAAGATATAGGGGGGTGGTGAGGAAAGAAGAGAAAAGGACTTTCATAGACTGATTTTTCTTTACTTTGATCCAGAGATCAAACTATAAAGAGTCACGAAGAATGTAAAGTTCCAAAATAAGAAAATATACACATCTTTGTCTTGACTTCTTGTGGTTTATCTGTAGGAGACAATGATAGAGTTCAAGTTTAAGGTGAATGGTTTCTCTTACTTGTGTTAAGGTGTCTGTGACAGGTTGTTTGCTTTCTGTTCTAGCAACAGGGAAACTCTTTCTCTTGACCGAGCACCTTTGAATCACCTCTCCCTGAGCCATGAAACTCATCTTTTCCTTTTCTAGTCACAGCCCAGCGCCTGCATGTAGAAATCCCTGAGCTTGTCTTGAGGGTTAAGAGTCCCATCCTGCTACTCCTGTGTTATAGCTGTGGCTCCTGAAGACAGACTCATTGCAGGGCTCTTGTAAGAAATGCAAGGCCAGCTTAACAGTTGGCTTCAGTGACAGTGAGTTTTGGGGGCTTGCATGCCCCTGCCCCAGTAAGTTCAGTTTAGTTCAGATTTGTTGAAGGGACTTTCAGTCAACCACACAGAGCAGGAATCTTCCCCCACACTTCTCACACCTCCAACACTATACGCCGTTCCCCCTTGAAGGAAATGAGAATCAGTCATTGTTAGTACTGGGGGGAGGAGGGAGACAGTCAAGATTCAGCCTGGCAGTGAACTGTCCCCAGGGTGCTGAAATGGAGAGCACCTCTACATATCTAAACTTAGATTCAAAAACCTGATTTGGGGCCTCAAATGGAAGCTGGGAGTCCTCTCATCCCAAAAAGCATTTTCTCTAAAACAACCTTCATCCCAGAGTCCCTTCCACCCTCCTACACCTATTCACGAGGAACAAGCTAGAGTGTGTTCTCTCTGGACAAAAGCCAAGGTGTGCCTCCTTCCCAGCTCTGAGTTCGGAGATGATGTCATGTCAGAGCTTGAAACTGGCTTCGGTGGGCATAGACTATCTCAGCCAAGAGCTGATACTTCTCACTGTTCCTGTGTGTGTGTGTGTTTGGGGAGAGGGGGGAGAGGTGGGGAGCCTGCGTAGTCATAGTGAACACTCTGCAGCTGCATCCTGGATGGAACGAACATTCTGAGGTTTCCTGCTGTCAGTTCTCAGAGAACAAGCTTCTTAGAAGAGCTATGCATGAGGGGCCATGTCTGCCACTTTACACCAGTCCTTTGCTCATAGTGGACCACTCCCCCACGGAGGGTGCTTACACTCCAAATACCAGGTTGGTGAAACATACCTTCCTATACATACTTAGCCAAGGAACAAAAGTGAGGTGACATCTAATGATAAAAAGGTCCTTTCCATGGAAATTTATTATCCATGTATACACACACACACACACACACACACACACACACACACATATATTTAAGATTTATTTGATTTATGCATACAGAGCTGGGGTATGGGCCAGAGGTGCAGGGGTGGTAAGAGGATTCACCAGAGACAGATGGGGAGCAGAACAGGCAGACTGAAGTACACTGCTGAGGGGAGCAGCAGGTGAAACAGGAGAGGTCTGCTGTACCATGTGGGTCACCTCTGGAGCTGGGAATCAAGTGGTTTTAGCTTCTTAGTGCTATGCTTTAACCCTCTGCACCACCAGGGAGGGCCCTATCCTTATATTTTGAAGAAGTTGCTAGTCATCAAAAAAAAAAAAGTAGGAGAAATAAGATCATAAGCATAATGATTGTCAGGTACCTACCTACCTACAGCACCATATGGCTATAAGTTTTACTAAGTAGATTATTGAAGAACCACAATGAATAAGAATCCCTGTCTTTTTTAAAATACCTTTGCAGCCCTTAAAAAAAGGTGTTTGTATTAATAATGTGCATGACAGGCTTCAAAGACTCAGACACACCTGTGTCTGAATTCAGTTACAAGTGGGTTTTTATCACAGTCACTTCTTGCTGAGTGTGTCAGCATCACCAATTGCTTGACCTTTTTCCATGTCATTCCTCTTAATTAAAATGAGACTCTGCCACAGGGTGATTTTGAAGATTCCAAGGGATAAAACATGTCAAGTGCCTAGAACACTATGGGTTCACTGTACTTCAGCATCTTTGTGTCTATTCAATATAGATTCCTTTTGAATCCTTATTTGGTATTTAGCAACATCACTCCAGCATTAACTGGACATTTGCATAATCCTAATCCAGAAAGTAAACAAAGTCAAGGGCCTTCCCATCTCATTTGCAAAGGGCACCTTAGATTTATTGACTGAAATCTAACAGAGAGCATCTCCCATTCTAGTCTAAACTATTGGACTGTGGGTACCATTCTGTGTGACGACAACAGGGAGCAAAGAAACATTGTCTCTCGACTGTGCAATGTACAATGAAGGGTGAAATTTTTAAAAATATGACCCAGGGTGTAAAGCCTGTTGAATTCCATGTTCAAATTTAGCAAGAGAAAAAATAGGTCAGCTTCAGGAGTGGCTGGAATAAGTAAGCTACTACATATTACTACCTCAGTCTTTGTGGCAATCACCCAAAATTGATATTGTTTCTAATTTTAGCACTGGAAAGATCTGACTGTGTAGGTATTGGGAAAGAAAAATCACACCAGATAGAATGCATTGGGATTTTTTTTTTCTTTATGTTAATTGTTGGTTGCCAACAAGTCTAGTTCTAAACAACTCCCTGGAGTGATAATAGAAATTAAAATTTATTGAACAACTGCCCCATTTACTGTTACACTTGCATTATTAATCATCAAAATGACACTGTCAGGTGGGTGTTTTATATCAGTTTTACAGATGATGCTGTAGAGATTTCTGAATCTTCACCAAGGGCTCCCCATTGGAGAATAATAAAGCAAGGACTTGAACTAGGCTTTCTGACCCCAAATGCTGAGGCTTTTTTTCAAACTCACTGCATTTTCTTTTACTTTTCTGGCTCCTAGATTAACCTGCCTCAAATTATTTCTGATAGCTTTATGTGATATTGTGATTTTTTTTAAAGATTTATTCATTTATACATACAGAACTGGGGTACAGGCCAGAGGTGAGGGGGGTGAGGATTCACCAGAGACAGTGGGGAGCAGAACAGGCAAATGTACTGAAATACATTGCTGAGGGCAACAGCGGGTGGGTCAGGAGAGGTCTGCCATGCCATGTGGGTCCCCTCCCTGGCCAGGGATCAAACTCGTGTTGCAATGGCTACGATAGCCTTACAGTGCTGTGCTTTAACCCTGTGTGACACCAGGGAGGGCCTGATATTGTGATTTATAATAAACTCATATTTGGTCTCCATTCCTATTTCTGGCACAGAGCTCCTATAACCCTCTGTGAATGAGGTCAGCTTTTAGGAAACACCTAAGGATGGGGCTAATTGCCTGGAGAGTCATCATATGAACTGGAGGTTGGAACTCTCAGTCCCATTCCCAACTCCCCCATACCTCAGGGGAGGGGTAAATCTCTGAAGGTTGCAGTAATGAGGAAAGGCCAATGATTTACTCGGTCAGGCCTATGTAATGAAGCCTCCATAAAGCCTGAGAGGTTTGGATTCCGAGTTTCCAGTTTGGTGAACTTGTGGAGAGATTGGAAGAGAAGTGCCCCCAAAGAGCCAGAAGCTCCACGCCCTTCCCACATCTTGCCTTGTGCATTTCTTGCACTAGCTGGTGCTGAGTAATAAGCCAGTAATCTAGTAAGTGATCCCCATTTTCCTCAATACAGTGACCCAAGGAAGAAGTAGTGGGAACATCTGATTTGTAGCCTGATGGTTAGAAGTACAGCTATTTACTGGGTGGGCTGAAGTATCTGTACCCAGTCTGAAGCTGGGTGGGGAGTTTTTGTACCTCTTGTACTTCTGTATCTTCATTCCTCCTGGAATGAAGTTAAATTCCAGGACACCTAACTGGTGCCCCAGACATTCTTTGTGGTATGGGAAATCCCTCACACACTCAGTGAAAATTGGGGTCCAAGAAACCCAAAATTAATTGCCTTATTAATGTCATCAAATCAAGTCTCAGTTTTCACTAGTGAAGTGAATTGTTTATTACAAGCAAGCAGTCTGTCTCTCTTTGGTTCTATCACTTTGCAAAAACAAAAACAAATACCATTAGCAAGGCATTCCATCATCTCCCACCTTCATTTCATCTTGAGAAATAGGGGACAATATTTAGATTAAACTGATAGCAGCAGCCAATATGCTTTGAGGCAATGAAGATCAGCAGCAATATGTTGTTATGAATCCTATGTTAATGGATTGTGTCTGTTCTCTAACATATGTTGCAATCCCAAACCACTAGACAGTTTTTGGTGTTTTATTTTTTTAAATAAAAGACGGTCTCAATAGAGTTGGGTTTATGACTCCATCCATCACGTGTTAGAGCCATTCTCAAGAAAAATCCAGGAATTTTTTAAAGGTTTATTTATTTATGCATACAAGAGCTGGGGTATAGTGAGAGATACAAGGTGGGGGGGGGGTGAGAGGATTCACCAGAAACAGAGTGGGGAGCAGAACAGGCAGATTGACTGAAATACACAGCTGAGGGGAGTAATGAGGCAAGACAGGAGAGGTCTGCTGCACCATGTGGGCCAGCTTCCTGGCCAGGGATTGAACTCATGCTGCAGTAGCTGCAGATAGCTTCATAGTCCTGAGACTTAGTCCCTTGTGCCACCAAGGAGGCCCCCAGGAATATTGTTTTATTACAAAATTTACTCTTTATTTTTATTTTTGGTTCTCTCAGTTAATAGTATAGAATGGGTCTGTAGGCTGATGATTTTGCTTTATCTGTTTTGTGTGCCTTGAAAAGGGAGGTGATGTATGCTTTAAGACAGGGTACATAGTGATGGAAGGACTCAGCCACTAAGTGAAAAAACAAAAGTGATCCCTCTCCAGTTATACTGGCTCCATGCCAGGCCTACCCCAGTGGCTAGTGACCAGTATGTCACCACTAGTGACCAGTATGTCACCACAAGTCACGTGGCCACAGCTTATAAAGACATTATAAGCTGATCTATAATGAAAAACCATAACAATAAAGTGATACTAACAGCTTAGAAGCTAAATCTGACCCACAAATGTTCAATTGTTGTTAGTGATTGTTAGTTTTACATGGTATTTGTTCTCATGGTGATTTTTCTATTTGCCACTGTTTTTAAAATCTGGATTCTAAATAAAAATTAAAATTAGGGTGAAGGAATTGCAGTTCATCCCAGAATGGAGGCCGCCTTTTTCTTTATTTAATAATTTGGATAAGGTGCCTCTGAAGCATGAAGCTGACAGTAAGTCTTGATGAAGAGAAAGTAGCACATTCCACTAGCAAAAAAAGCTCAAGGTAGACTGACATGTTCATTATTTAAAAAAAATAAAGCAACTGGCTATAAAATATTTATGCCAGCAACTGATGCTTTCTAACAACTGAAACAATAGCATAGTTTATAATACTCAAATCAGCAGTGATATAAAATTTCAAACATGTATAATAAAATCTAACAAAACAAAGCCAGGAGGAAAACTTAAAATGGAGAAATATTTCTAACAAATGTGATTTCCAAGAGGAAGCCTCACTATATCTGAAATGCATAATTGGGCATCTTAATTCATATAGAAGAAGATAGTAAAATATCAAAACTTAGTAGACTTCACTAATTGAGCAAGTACAAATCATATTAAACAAGAGGAAGTAACAACTTTAAGACAGAGTTGTAGAAGGAATGAGCATCCTATGCTTTGGGGTGTCTTTGACAGCAATGGGGATGGCTTCCAGACTTTGAGAAGGTCATCAAAACAGTTACATCCTCTGACCCAGTAATCTCATCTACCACAATATATATCTAAGAAAGAATCTAAAATGAAAATTTTAAATATAATGCAAAAAATAATTGGCTATTGCAGTAATATTTATCACATACATAATAAATAATATCAAAGAAAAGTAAACACTTGATATTTGAGGAATTGTGATAAAACAGTAGTGATAAGACCATTAAAACTCATAAATAAAATGAAAGTCATAAAACTCTAGAAAATAATAAGATTTTTTAATGTCATTGTTATAGCTTACATTTATATCTCCAGGAAATATATATGTATGCATACAGTCATAGTTCAGAAAAGAAAATAAGGATTTATTTTTATAGGAGTATGGGTAATCATCTCTAAATTAATGTTTAAAGATCTTTTTCTGAGTTTTTTCAATAATAGAAATTTTGGAAACCTGCAGACTTCAGTGAATGGAACACCAGTTCCAAAGCGAAAAGATGGCTGCCCACGTCTAGAAGGGATAGGAGCGTGGGGAGCCCCTCAGATAGTGATGGGCACCTTAGCAGCCTGGACGGAGCTGTGATGATGTTCACTAAACAAATTCCAGGATAAAGCAGACAGAGGTGTCCCAGTTCCCAGGGTCTAGGAAGTGATGTGCTGTTTCCAAGGCAGATACCAGTTACATCTTTTTACTTATCCAAACGTGTAAGCACTGTTGATTATGCTTACAGTGTCTCCCTGGATTTTGCAAATCATCTTCTCTTTTCTTTCTTTTGTTAAATATGATCTTTCGATTGCCTTCATTGATGAGAAGTTTCCAGCTTCTCTGAGTAAACATCTTTCTACCTATTCATCATTGTTTTTAAGCAATTTTCCTTTTAGAAATCCTTAAAGTTTGCACTATCCAAACTCACCCATCTTTCCAACCATGCTCTCTCCCTCTGAAACTCTATTTTGGTGACTCCAGAACCCACACTTCTTGTAGGGGTCCATCATCAACCCCCGTAAGCACAAAGAGCTATATACATTTTATTTTGCCAAATTTTATGGCAAACACAGCTCCTCTAGGAACAATATTAGAGTGGAGTAAAGAGGTCAGTGCTTCAAAATTAGAAACATTTTCATCCTCCTCTTTTTGCATCCAAGTATCTAGGAGTTATCAATATTTCAGAAGCTCTGTAGCCTTTTTTCCCCCTTCTCTCTAAATTTGTTATTCCTCTAATGCCCTTATTAAAGAAAAAGAAAATTATTTTGGAAGGGATTTGACTTTACAGATACTAGAGAGGAAATCACATGAATTTTAATGCAGTATAGATCATTAAAATATAATAAATAAATAAAATCATTTTCTCTGGTTCTTATAGTTATTTTGTTCTGAGCAAAAGTACATAATAGGTACTAGGACTCTTGAGAGCAAATGCAACTAATTTCTTTTGCAGATATGTACTTCATCTAAAAAGCCTTTACATAGTAAGTTTATAAATTATGCATGTATTGAAAGAAAATAAATTTATTGTACAAAATAGCACAATTGTATATTTTAATATATGTTCAATATTCTTTACCAAGCTTCTGGAGACACACAAGGAAAGGCAAAGCCACACTCTGTCAGTAAAACCTTCTAGAACTGGCTCTACTCCTCATTTCAGTGTTCTCATAGGAAAAAAAAAGTCTACTTAAAATGAAGTTATCACACCTCACAGCTGGAGGAATTTAATCTTTTGTCTATTGAAAAGATTATTTCGTTGCAAGCAACAGATTCACTAAGAAAGGGGGAGTAGCAAAAGAATAGTGCTCCTTGTTTTGAAGCAAGAAGTTTAATTGTTGAGTCCTCAGGAAACACGGTCTCCAGGACTATGAGTGGCAGGAATGAGAGAACCATGTCACTGGTACAATGACCTTGGACATAGCTCAGCTTCAGTCAGTTCAGTGGCAAAAGACTGTGCTTTGCATGCAAACTGACTCATCTTCTTCTGGCCAAATACTAAGAGTCAAGTTAAGCAAGTTCCACTTTATTATAAGAAAAACTTTTCACTGGATCCCATGGGGAAGATCACACACCCGTGGCTAGCTCACGGGAACAGTGTGGCCCCAGAGGTGGAACTGCTGAATTACAACTGCAGCTGGGCCTCTTATCACTTGGACTCAGACATAATTTAAGTATTTTCATTGGTGCTCACAGGCAGATTATACAGGATTTCCAGTTCAGATGGTGTGTTTTGAATTACAATGTTTACAAGTCGTTAAGAGACAGCATTCGACTGAAAGGGATGCCTTCAGTGGTGTTCACTAGAAAGGCAGACAACCCCGAATCCACAGCCTGGCTCCCCCTTGTATTAATGTGTGTGGTCTTGGGTAAGGTGATTAATCCCAGTAGAGGCAGAGACAATGAGAGAAAGGTCCCTTCGGGAAGACGGGAGGATCCTATCAGTCAAATAATGTGCCGAAGAGTGGAAGCTCAGGAACTAAACCGCCTGGGTTCGAACCCAGCTGTACCCTATTCGTCATTTAGTGACTTTGTTCCAAAGTTTCCTCACCTGTGAGCTGGAAATAGTAAGTTACCTACCTCATCAGTCATTATGAATAGTAAACAAGTTACTACATTGATAGTGTTCAGATCTGTCCCCTGCACGTTATTAAGTGCTGAAACTTACTGATGATGACCCAAAACCTCCAGCAGTGAGGCAGCCACCGAGGCTCACTAGTGCTGGTACCTGAAGCATCCCAAGTGTGGCCACGTTTCCCCCAGCTGCACGCACCTCGTTCTCCCAAACCCTAAGCCGCAGCAGTTTCACATTTTGCTCCATCACCGTGCTGAAAAGTCATCTCTCCTTCTCTTTATGCTTGCATTCAATGTTAGGGCGCTGACTTTCCCTACTCGAGGCTCCCTCATTCTACTCTTATTTTAAATCTCATCTCATGAACCAGCTTCTCCCCAAGACCCAGGAGGTGTATAGATCACTATCTCAGGCATAAATGTTTGCTTCCTCCCTGGACTCGAGCTGTTACGGCAGGGACAAGACCCTCTTCCGTCCATCCTTGGTACTTCTGCGAGTACTAGACACATAGTAGGCACTCAGCACGTCAGATATGTTTCTTGTACAGGAATGACTCTTGTCATCAAAGGGACTATATAGTATCTGTGTCATCTGTGACTGCAAACTACCTGTTCTAGCAGGAAGAAAGTTTATTTCTCAATCTCTCTAAGAGACGGTAGGGTGTCCGGGGGCCATTTGTACAGTGGGATGAGGGGACGGGGCGGGACTGGACGGCCCTCCAGACTCACCTCTGCAGCCGCCCTCACTCCTGCCTGGTTCCTTTCACAGTGTTGCCTTGTGAAGCCTTCAGAACACACAGGGAAGGAGAGTGCCAGCTTTCCTCTAGTCCAGGGGGGAAAACCTGCATCTAAGAGTGAAGGGAAACAACTGGGGGGCCAGGAAGAGCGCCCCATTCATGGCCTTTCATTTCTGGTTCTCCCACAGACTTTGCAAATGGGCATCAAGCACTTCTCGGGACTCTTCGTGATGCTGTGCATTGGGTTCGGTCTGTCCATCCTGACGACTATTGGTGAGCACATAGTGTACAGGCTGCTGCTGCCGCGAATCAAGAACAAGTCCCGGCTGCAGTACTGGCTCCACACCAGCCAGGTGAGTGCGCGGCTCCTGCCCAGCCTTCTTCCAGGAGCCCAGGAAGGGGAAGATCCCCTAGGCAGGATCAGACTGACAAAGTCAAGTTACCAAGAGAACTGGGTGGTGTAGATTGATGCTGTCAGTACAGACAATGGCATTCCCTCCAGCAAGTTAATTCAATTTCCCCTTAAGCTACCCCCTTCAATGTTTTCACAATGAAAGCAATGCAATTGTTTTTAGCTTGATTTCATTCAATATGACAATCTGAAGAGCTGGTATGAAAGAAGTGTTTCTTACCAGCGCCTTCCTTGCCAAAACTGAAACTCATTCAATGAAACTTGAAGTCCTTGTTCCCTCTTAGAAGAAACCTGGGCCCCAGTTCCCTTTGTTTTTGCACTGGTCCAGAGGGTTGAGGCCTGCCACTGTCAGCACATGCCTGCTGGGGTCAAATTTCCTGTTCATATGATTCAGACACCGCCAGACCCCCCTCTAGGAAGCACTGACAGGCAGAGGGATTCCAGGCTCACACCTTTACACAGCCTTCCTGGAAGGAAATGGCATGAGCACCAAAATGACTCAGCAGGTTTTTTAATGAAGGGGCTTGAGCAGAGGCAGCTGTTTCACATGAGCACAGAGAGGCGAGGGGAGGAGTCATCTAGTGCTGTGATGGACTCCCACCGCCTCCCTGCAGCCAGTACGGCGGCTTCTGCCTGTCCATCTGTCCTCAGCCCTCTCTGTTAATAACACAGGATTTTGCTCATTTTTTCTAGGTAGGTTATGATCACTGCTTCAGTTATACTTGTTTTTCCTCCTTTCATCCTAGGAAGTATTTGGTCTTCTAAGGAGAACACTGCAGACAACAGACCTTCTCCATTGTGTGTTAACAGGATTAGTGTAATTCTCAAGTCCTTCCCTTCTTTGTTTTGGTTGCAAAGAAATTCACACTGAAGTTTTGGCTTGCCTTTAGCAAAGGAGGCCCTTTGCCTCAATTAGCTATGATCTCTTCTTTGTATCACATGCCTTTTGACAACTGAGAGCATCTGTAAGCATCCTCTCAAATTACTTCCTCCACCCCAGGCAGAATAATGATGCATAATCAGAATTCGTGTTCTCTTGGGATTTGGGACTGAATGTTGATATACTTTCAGGCATCCCTGGAAATTTGTTTAAAAATCCCTAGTTTGTTGCCCAAGATACACTGTTAAACCTCCGACAGTTCTTTACCTCCTCACTGTGTCACTAATGAGCTCTCCATGTGAATCTGTTCTTTCCACCAGAGACTACACAGAGCACTAAACACATCATTTGTAGAAGAAAAGCAGCAGTGTCTCAAGACTAAACGTGTGGAAAAGAGGTAAGGACAGACCAGTACCAGACTTCTTTATGTTTGTCAAACTCAAGTTTAGCCATGTAAACGAGACTTTGTGCTCAAAAGTGGAATTATGTGTAAAGAATTCAGATCAAACCAGGAGTAACTTGTTAACATTCAAAGCCTATATAAACTTATGTGCTTTCAAAAAGTAGATCAGACAGAATAAAAAACATAAGTCTGTGACTGGACCCCAATTTGCAGTACTGACAACATATGTTGTGGCGAATGTGTATGGCAGGCCTCCCTGGCAGTGCAGGGGTTAAAATCTCAGCTCTCTGCCAGCCACTGTGGCACAAATTCAATCCCTGGCCAGAGAGCTAACCCACAGCAGCGCAGCAGTCCTCTAAACCACATGTCCAGCAGACCTCTCCTGTCTTGGCAACTGCTCCCCTCAGTAGTGTATTTCAGTAGATCTACCTGTTCTGCTCTCCACTGTGTCTCTGGTGAATCCTCTTTTCCCTGCACCTCTGGCCTACACCCCAGTTCTTCTATAAATTAAAAAAATAAATCTTAAAAAAAAAGTGGGCTCAGGTTCTGCAGTCAAACTTCTCAGTCTCTGACACAATAGGTGATTTGGTGCTGAACTCTCTCTGCCTCAACTTCCTCATTTGTGAAATTGAGGTTAAAGAGTTACTGTAAGGAGTAAATGAGATAATAGATATATAAAACAAAATATGCTGGGAAAACAAAGCATACACCTAGTAAATAGTAGCCAATAATAGCCATAGCCTGTTAAGACTTAATTTGGCAGTACCACAGGCAACCGCATCCCTGTGACACGTTGCCACTCCCCAATCCTCTGCAGCATGCCTAGGGCTACTGAAATATGCAACAGATGTGTTCAGCTTATTCTATTTCCTGGCATTCTTATTATAACCTCCCCAGAAGAAAGCATCTCATTAAGCATTAAATGCATTAGATGACATTTGAAAATTGAGACTTCACACCTTCCCTACCTCCAGTCCTGGGATGACTGTTGTCTCATTCATGAAGGTAAGATGTCACAAGCATTTGGGTCAAGTTCATGGCTGGCCTGTGTCCCAAGCTGCCTGCCCAGGGCGGCTCTCCTGGGTCTTCACGTGCCCAGGGCCACCGTCCAGAGTATCATTTCCACACAACTCTGTCATCTGTGGCAAAGCCTCAGCTCAAAGGCTGGGTTTCTGGGTAATTTTAAAATCAGACATTCATGCATCTCATTCAAAATAGAGGGAAAGGTAAAGTGAGGTAACAGAAATCGTTCTCCCTGCTGATACCTCTTCTGGGACTCCCCCTATCCCCCCCTCTCCAGACTGCATCTAATTTGTCACAATTGTTCCCATCATCTCTTTCTTTTTCTTTAATTGAGGTATTAAAGCCTCTTTCCAGTCACTGAGCAACCACCCTTCTCCCTCTCAGCCTGTGGTCTTGTCACATTGCTGCCCTGTTAGCGACAGGCTGTAGACCAATCACAGCACAGCTGTTCCCTGTCATGTTACATCTATTAGGTCCTACAATTATTTTTAATATAAGGAGCACAAGAAGACGTGGTAGCAAAGGCAATGTCTCATAATGACAATGTGCAAGTTTTCCTTCCAGCTGTAACAGAAGCAGGAAGCCTAGTGATTATGTCTTGAACCGTGATTCCTGTTCCCTTAAGAGTCCCATGTGTCTTTCATGCCACTCACTTTTCTTGGCAGAGTCCCCGAAACCCCCTATTTTGAGTAGAACTAAGGCAAAACATGTCTTTCTGGCTTATCTGGGATCCAAGTTTCCTGTGCCACCTCCCTGCGGCCACCCCCACCTGTCACCTTGCAAGTACAGTTGAGTGTGTAAGATCTCACAGCTCTCAGGATTTCTTGGGGAGGAGCAAGCCTCAGTGTCAGGATTGCTCCGTCAAGCTTGTTTGGCCCATCTGGTGTTCATTGCAGACAATTCACAGGTCATGTGACCCTCTAAACCTGGGGCAGGAAACTGTAGAGACCAACACAATTATAGGCTTGTTCTTCCCCTTAGACAACAAGCCTGATGTTCACATCAGTCACCTCACATTCCCAGTGGCCCAGTCACATGTCAACTATCAAGGCATGTGTGGCACTACTGACCTGATTTTGTCATAGAAACCAGTTTTTGCTTATTCTCCTATATGTACAAAGACACATGTACAAAGCTCTGGAAAAGACCAGGCTAACTGCCTCTACTTACCCAACTTCTGTAGCTGTCCAGATAGTTCAGGAAAATATGTCGACGCCCTACATTAACTCATCCTACAGTACTTGAGTTAGATCTGATGGCTTGAAAACTTTCCCTCTTCTTTTTTTGTGACTGTATTAATTTATGCATAGAAGTAGGGTGTAGACCAGAGGTATGGGGTTTCACCAGAGACAGAGTGGGGAGCAAAAACAGATGTACTGAAATACACTACTGAGGGGAGCAGTGGCTAGACAGGAGAGGTCTGCTGCGCCATGTGTGGGTAGCTTCTTGGCCAAGGGATTGAAAGCAGCCTTAGCAGTGATAGAGTTGAGACTTTTCCTCAAGGCCACTAGGAAGGCCCCTTCCTTTTCTTTTGGGAAAATCTCTCTGCCATTGCCCATGTCTGCCACAACTTGTCATCTCATGTTTTCTGGGTTGATTGAAAGAACAAATGGATGAATTACTGACATAGTTTAAAGTAAGGCTTAGAAGAATTTGGGACTATAGTATTAAAGCAGATCTTGCTCGTTTGTTTGTTTGTTTTATTTAAAGCAGAGGAAATTGTAAAGGTTGCAAAAGACTATTTACATACACTTGACTCTTGAGTAACATAGGTCCTCAATGACAGTATCGATAAATACAGGACAGTACTGCAAGGAAAGGGTTTTCCCCTGACTTCTTAACACTTTCATTTTTCTAACTTATTTTATTGTAAAAATATATAATGCATGACACCAAATATGTGTTATCACAGGGCTTCTTGTCAACAGCAGACTGTTAGTAGTTAAGTTTGAGAGGAGTTAGAAGTCATACAGGGGTTTTTGATTACAGGGGTTGGTGCACTTAACCAATTGTATAGTCTTTAGTTTATTCAGCATGTGAGTTCAAGTGAGTTTTGACTACCATTCACCCCACTGGGCTACTTATAGACTTCCCTTTTCCCTTTCCTCTCACCCCAAGACACACATGAATTATAAACCATATAACACACCACAAATTCCTTGAAATAATTCTAACTCAATAGAAAATACATGAAGAAAACTTAAAGGGAACAGGAAGGTTAAAAGGAAAATGCAGCTCTACCTCTGATCTAGGTTAAGACCGGTAGGGCTAGGTAGGGCTATAGGTGGTCCATTATCCAACCTCTGCCCAGCCTGGGAAGGGTGAAGCAGGCTCTGGGGCCTCTACCCATTATATGAGATGTGAACTATGACAAAATTAAAGAACCGCATGTGTTTGTGTGTTTAGTGGCTCGGGGCATGTATTGGTTTGCCAGGTGAGAAATAAGCCCAAGTCTTAATGTCTTAAACAACAGCGAGTTGCTTTTATGAATCTGGTCAGCTGCTGTTTACTAGCTTGGGCCCAACCTGGTCCATCTTGGCTGGGCTTGTTCACAGGCCCACAGGCAGCAGATAAGGAAGGGAAGGAGTGCAGCTAAGGGCTGGTCCACGATGCGCTCGGCTGGGCCAACCGGGAAGATGGGGCTCTCCACCCGGCACACTGCTGTGGTCTCCACCCGGCACACGGCTGTGGACTTGTTCAGATTGCAGCAGCAGAATACTAAAAGAAACTATAACTGAGTGAAGCTTCATAAATGTGTAAGCCTGGAGCATCACTTTTGCCATGTTCTGTTGAAATATAGCAAGCCAGGAGACCAGACCAGATTCAAAGGGGAAGAAAAAACAGCATTTCCTCCAGGCTCCCCCATAGCGGAGATAAATTAGTCACACGTTATAGAGGGGCACGGATGAAAAGGAGAGCAACAAACTGACCTGTTTTTCAATCTACCTCAGGGCAAACAAGATAGAATCATTTTGTCCCATCCATGTAACTAAGTCAAGACTTAATTATCTCCACCTCACCCTTCTCCCTTCAGGTCCTCCCCTTCTCCTCCTGGCTCGGAGAGTCCAGGTATAAGAGTCTAATTCAGTTCTATGGCTGGGAACAAAAACACAGTCTTAATAGGGTGCTTCTACTTTATTTTGCCCTGTGGTAGATTGCAGAATAGGTTACAATCCTCCTCTTCTCATTTTTACAAGGTGAGAAGAGATCAGCATTATGCTGCTTGGGGCTCTAATCTGTTCTTAGAGAAAGAAACTCATCTCATTGCATCTGTCAAAGTGCATTTCCAAAACAAGGCTTCCTGCCACCTTGCCGTGCGGCAGAGACCCCACGGTAGTGGAGGTGGCTGGATGCCCGTGGCCTATTTCTAGCTGACTTTCATTGTCCCAATAAAAACTTGAGACTTTGTTATTTGTTTTTTAAGTTTCAGACCTAAATAGTCATTCTCAGCCCACATAAAGTCATCCCTACAATGGGAAGCTTTCTGTGGATCCTGCAGCTTATATGACTTTATTCACCTCAAAGTAGTAAACATCAGGGTGGTCCTGGGAGTCTGAGGATGAGCCAGGTAACATCTGTCAGCAGGCTCATGCTTGGAGCCCGACAGCTGAATAGGCAGATTCTCGCTTTTACTAAAGCACTATCTTTATAGCCATAGAATGTTTCAAGGCAGCACAGTTTTCTGTGCCTCACCTGTAGGAAGCGAATAAAAAGGCATCTAAGGTTCTTCATAAAGAGCATACTGGCTCCCCAGCCTCCCAGACAGCATGCCCATGCTAGTTTCAGGGCAGCATAAGCCTTGGTAAGGCCTTGAACTTGGGGGGAGGGGGGGTGATGGGGATGGCGCTCTGGCTTTGCAGCTTCAGCTCTGGAGCTCTGGAGGCATCCCCAGCCCCATGTTATTCACGCAGGAGATGACTAACAGATGGAGAACAGAAGATCAATCTAAAGTGCCTCTCTGTCCCCAGGTCTGATGTGGGACCACGTCAGCTCACCGTGTGGAATACCTCCAACCTGAGTCACGACAGCCAGCGCAAATACACCTTCAGTGATGAGGGAGGACAGAACCGCCTGGGTGTCCGGATGCACCGGGACATCCCTCTCCCACTGCGGAGAGAGCTGCCCACCTCCCTGACGACCAACGGGAAAGCAGACTCCCTGGGCGGCGCCCGGAACTCGGTGCTGCAGGAGCTGTCGGAGCTGGAGGAGCAGATCCAGGTGATCCGGCAGGAGCTGCAGCTGGCTGTGAGCAGGAAAACAGAGCTGGAGGAGTATCAAAGGACAAGTCGGACTTGTGAGTCCTAGGGGATCCTGCTGCTCCCCTCTCCGGGTTCCCAGCCCTCCTCTGAGCCCTTGAGACACTTTGTAATGCTCTTTTGTAACCACAGACTCAGGTGTGGGGGAAGCTGAGGCCCAGGTCTTCTAGCAGATCAAGTCTGCACTCCCTCGCCTGAAAAAGCAGCAGCAGCAGCCCCCAAGCTCACTCCCTAGGTCTCCAGGTTAGCAGCGTGGTCTTGGGGGGTTGGCCCCATGTAAAGTCTGTGAATAACCAAACCAGCCCAGCTCCTGTTACCCTTTCCACCTGGTGCCACAGTATTATTTCTGGGTTTTAGCCCTTTCTCTGCACTAGCAACAAGAAGAGAGAAAATGGTTACCCATCCCTGTGTCTTACTGGGTTGCTTATTTCCATCTTAGCAAAGAACAGGATTGTCTACGTTTGTAGCTTTTGATACAACTCTCCAACTTCCATTCCTACAGTGAGTGTGGAGCAGGGTAAGGGCTGGGGAATTATAGGACAGGAAGGTGTATAAATAAAAAGTGAACTGAGCTCATTCACATCACAGCAGGCCAAGGACTGATGAGACGCTCCGGTGTCCCCCAGCCCATCCTGGCTACCATTTGTAAGAGCTTGTTTACGTGCCACTGTGAAATGGGACAGGAATGTGGCAGGCAGAAAAGAGTGACATTCAAAATGTACACCCTGCTTTTAGAACAGAAGCTTGGGCCAGGAGAGCAATTTGGCAAAAGAAAGAGGACTATCCTTTTCATCTAACTAAGCATCCCCATTATCGTGTGTGCCTTTTGTAAAAGACAAGAGAAAAGCATGGATGTGGCCTTTAGGATGAAGCTGAAATAGTCCAGCTTGTAGCCTCCACAGGACATGTGAGCTGGCACTGTGAGTTAAGAAACAGTTCTCTAACCACATACAAGGCCATTTTCAGATCAGCCGTCACCTGTCCCTTGGCTGTCAGAATCCCTAAAGTGAGCCCGAACCCTGGGAGCAACCTGAGCTTCAACATTCAGAAACATGCCCTGTTCGTTCATGTCTATGGTCTAAGTACCAGGTCAGCCCCCAGCCTCGCCCACTCATCTCTGAAGGACTGTGAGCATGGTCAGGCCCTCCAGTTCCCATCTAGTGTCCCCAAGAGACTGACAGGAGTCTGGTTTCCCCTCTGCCTAGGCATCCCTCCCACGGTGTGCAACTGCTTGGGCATGCAGAAGGGAGAGGACTTTGGGAACGGCAGAACTTGTTTCCAGTGCCAGTGTAGACAGGACTCATCTAGGAGCTCTTTAGACTGCTTGGAGCCTTCCCCAGAGACTGGCAGCAGCCTGCAATGAGCTCAAAACCTCCTGTTATCCAGCACCCTCAGGTGACTGACACACGTGATCCCCAAAGTACTCTCATCCAGAAGTCTGGCTGCCGAGGCATGGAGAGAAGTAAAAAGAGCCTTTGGAGACATTTTTTGAGCTTCCGCACATACCTACTGCTTCACCCTCTACTCCTGCCCTCTGACCCTGGGACACCATTTAGCACTAGACTTCTGGGCTTGGTCTTCTGGGCCCTCCCGCTCTACCTGCTTCCAGTGATTGCCCAGACCTGCGCCCTGAAACAGCTGCAGTCATTGCAAAGCCTCCTCAGTCACTAATGCTCCCCCTCTGCTTCTGGACACCACTCCTGCATTTCCACTAGTGCTACCTGGTCTCCCAGGGAAAGGTAACACCCTAGGCTATAATTAGATATCACTTCAGCCATTAGTGAATTTTCTAAGAAACCCTGGGAGTGGATTAGTCACAGAGACTGATGAGGGAGGTGAAAGGATTGGAAAGTCAGACTCCATCAAGCTCACAGAAAGAGTTCAATGATGAGAGAATGGAAGAAACTGGAAGCAGAGGCCATGCTGCCTAGAGATACCTTACGCTCCTGTGTGCTCACCCAGGCCCAGATTAGGTCTGCAACTCCCTTCGGAAGACTCCGCCCCTTGGCCATCCCCACTCACCTGCTGGAGCTCAGGACGCTGTAGACTCTGCCATCACGCTCTGCACATGCCTGGGCCTCTACACAGCCCGGGAGGCTGATACACAGGTGTACCTCAGTCCACATCACACCACGCCCCTAATGTTGTACATGGACATTTTTATAATTCAGCTCACATTCAGACTGTACTTGAGAAGCTGGCTACTTAAAGGAACCCAGAAGTGAATTATTTTGTAAAGTAAAGAATCCTTTTGTAATGCAATCGATTACCCCTTAATGTATGTTTTGTAAGTTTGGATTTTTTGTATATCGGGTTTCCTTTCAGCTTCTCTACCAAGGTGTTCTGAGCAGTGGTGGTAACACACCAGATGTCCCTGTCTCTAGCCACTAAGCAGGGTCCAGTGCATGGCTCCTAAGGCATCTTCTGAGGAATGGTGTGGTCAAAACTGTCGCCAAGGTATAGCAAGAAACAGCAGGGGTTGAAGGCACACTGACAGTCCTCAACACTGCTGAATAGGTCTCCATGTTCTGGATAAAGAACAAACCATAATTGCTGTGGTGAATTGAAAGTCTTCATGTTAAATAGCAATGGTTATTTTTCTCAGTAGTAATTGAATAGTGTTTTGCAATTTGTGAAACAGTGTGTTGTATTTGGTAAAAAGAATTCATGATGTGGTGGGTCCTTTGAAAACCCTCCTTTCTGTTCTCTCAACTCTCCTCAGGCTCAAAAAAAATTCAGAAAAAAGTCTTAAGGTGGAGGGAGGTACCTTGATAAGAGGAAATGAGGGGTGCTCCCTTACCTGCTCTCGTGGGCTCCTGCTGCATGAGACCAGGGAAGCCTCCATTCTTTTGCAAGCCTAGGTGTTGGGGAACCTAGAACATGACAACCTGTAACCCACCCCAACCCCTTTCCAAGGGGAATTCCGGACACAGGAAGCACACAATAACACAGATGGAAAAGTGGGAACAGGCTTGGTTCATGTGAAGAATGAGACTGTACATGCCTCAAGGTAGAGGAGCAAGGGGATCCCTCCACCAATTAAAGACAGGTTGGAGGAACGACTGGAACAGAGCAGTCAGGCAGCGGGGGGACCCCATCTGTTGAGGTCTTTAACGTACCTGGAGGTGACTCTCCGTGATTAATGCTCTTGCTGTTGCACAGCCCTATGTAGGAGAGGCTGCTTCCTGCCAACAGACAAGTGTAAGTGGAGCAAGTGGCAAGCAAAACAACTATGCCACGTGGGCCAAAGAGTTCTCTCTGAGAGCCTAGGAGTGAGTGAGCACTTCCTAAGTATAGATAAAGAATGACAGAGAAAGAAACTTCCTTAGAGCCTCTCTCCCTCCCAGCTCATATTTTTAATAGGCAAGCCGGAATCCAACCAGTCTTCAGAAGCAAATGATTGCTCTCCATCACCAGTCACTCCCCGTCCCTACACTGTTGACTTACCCTCTCTTCACCCACCCGCACCTTCCACCCAGTCCAGGACTCCCTCCCTCTCTTCAGTTACGTTCCTAATTGTTTTATGAAAATACCGTACTTATACCTATTTTCTTAAGGTTTGTAAAAAGTGTTTGCATTGTGTCTTCATTTTAATGTGTTTGCAATCGCTCCGCTCCAGGAAGAACTGAAGTGCTGTCTTGTGAGCATGAAGTGAACAGGCTGTTTTGCTCCAGCCACTTTTCTTGTACAACCACGTGGATGGACTAGATGTCCTCAGGTCTCTTCCATCCTCAGTTTCTATGACTGTGGAATAAATGTTCAGATAGAAACTTCACTTTTGGATGTGCTGCTGGCATTGTCTTTGGGGATTCTAATGTTGACTTGGGACCAGCCTCTTCCTAACAGGAGATCCTCCAATGCTATCATTTATACTAATTTCCTTAAGATAGTCCAAAGTGGCTCAAGCTATGCTGACAAAACATCAGGAAGCTTCCTCTGAGAGAAACATACTAGGAAAAGCTTTCAGAAAACAATATGCCCTGACCACCTTCATTTAATAATTCAAGCAACTTGCATTCATCTGGTAAATGCTGGACATACAACAGTCTTTTCTGACATTCTGCCTCTCACACACCTCTCAGCCTGGACCCCAAACCCACAGAGAAAAGACAGGAGACTAGGTGGGAACTGCACCTGCAGACGTCCATTGCAAACACACACAGCACACAACCCTTGAGTGGCACAGCAATAATGTTTCAGCATTTGTTTTTTAGTTTATGCAAGGACTAGTGCAAGCAGTTACAAATTACTTTGCTGTCTATAAGTCTCAGGTATCTTAGAACCCAGGTAATTGTAGTTGCCAGTTGCCAGCAAAGTTGCTTTTATGAATGTACTAACCAGGTGCAGTCTTCATATACACCTTTCTTGAAAAGTCAAATGTCATAAAACATACCTATTATAATTCAACTATCCCAGGATATTTTGCATCATTTAGTCATTTGTTGGATGCTTATTTTGAGCCACACATTGGACTAGCTGCTGTAAGTTAAAAAACAAAGACTCCACCCATGCATATCAGTCTATTTGCGGATGGAGAGTGGTATAAACTGGCAAATCAATGTTGCATATATTCTGATAAAGAAATGCACAAGCTATGGGAATATATAGCACTGTGTGTGTGTGTGTGTGTGTGTGTGTTGTGGAAAGATTGAGGGAGGTAACAAGAAAAAAGAAACCCATGTAAAAAACCCATGTGCACGATTCCAACACTGGGAAACCACAGCACTCAAGAACTTGAGAACTTCTAAGAAATTGGTAGGAACAAAATGCATAAGGAAGGGGACAAGCTACATAACCGGAAAGAGAAGGGGCCAGACCACTGTGCTAAGCTGGGCTTATAACCCAAAGACCACAGGAACCACGATAGGATTCTATGCTGAAGCATGACCTGCTGAGAGGCCAAAATCCGCACCACTGGCTGCACCTGGCTGGAATCACCTGAGGTCTACCCACGGCTGCGAGCACATCTTTTTTGATGTTTTGAAATCACTGGCCTTGCTACCACTAAACCAGGACAGGTGAACTAGACATTGAAAAGTGGGGATGTCCATCTTATTTTGTCTTAGTTATAGGAAGAAAATGTAGGTGACGAGAGAAAAATTGACCTCACAATTTATTTGCTATAGTAAAAGTTAATACATTCTGAACATTTGCTTGGTGCCAGGCACTGTGTTAAATGTTTTATAAATTTGACTCATTTCATCCTCAATACAATCCTATAAACATGTAGCTTTTTTTTATTTTGTATATGAAGGGGAGAGAAGTCGTCTGTCAATAAATGGCAGGCCACGCTCATCCTAAGCTGATTTAATAAGAAATGCATTTGACACAGGGCCTGGACTCACAATCAGGACTCAACAAATGTGTAAATGGACTGACTGAGCAAACAGAAACCTAAGCTCTATTTAGCTCAAACTCTGCTCTAGAACAAAGTGCTGTTGGAGCTCTCAATTCATAGGGGAACAAAACAGTCCCAACCTGAGCTGACAGAGATCCTACTTAAATTAGAACTATCAAGGATAAGTAAATACACTGTTCATATAAGCCTTCAGGAAGACTTCAAAAAGACTCTGGTATTTTCACTTATTTGCCTCAAAAAACCACTCCAGTGAGGCCCTCCCTGGTGGCGCAGCGGGTTAAAGCACAGTACTGAGAATCTGAAGCCACTTCCGCATGAGTTCGATTCCCGCCTGCAGCCTGCCCCGGAGGAGACCACATGGCGAGCCAGACCTCTCCTGACCCGCCCGCTGCTCCCCTCAGCAGTGTACTTCGTAGATCTGCCTGTTCTGCTCCCCACTCTGTCTCTGGTGAAGCCTCTCACCGCCCCTGAGCCTCTGGCCTGTACCCCAGTTCTGTATGCACAAATAAATAAATAAATCTTTAAAAAAAAAAAAAACACTCCAGTGATACAGATCTGCGTAGGATCAAAGAAGGCATAGTAGAGAACTGGTGGCCACATTTCAAATTGCGCACAGAACTGAGCGTCCCTGGAAGCTCTTTCCTCATCTCTAAAATAAGGACATGCCTTGAGGTCCCTTTCACATTCTACCTTTCAAGTCATTCCATCCTGTATTTTTAGTAACTTCAAATCCTCAGGACACATTATTATTAATGCAAGTATCATGGCTCCATCTTGTCTACAACTTCCCTCAAAAAAAAAAAAAGCTATCAAACTTACAATAAGAGAATCCCTAGCCTATTACTGGGTGGCCTCTAACAGAGGCATTTCAGAATTCCTAATTCTTTTTACGAATTTCAGAATTCCTAATTCTTTTTACGAATTTCAGAATTCCTAATTCTTTTTAGCATCACAAAAGAAATTAAAAATGCAATTAAGTACTTTGAGATTACCCAAACTTGAAAAATTACTTCAATACATTCAATACATGAAGGATAACTGTTTATACTTCAGAGATGAAAAGAAAGGAGCTAGGTGTGCCTTCCTTCACATTGGTCCAATAAAACAGACTTGTGAAGTCCTGTTAGCAGAATCACAGAAGGTGACTAAGGCGATCACACAAACCGTCTCTAAGGAGTGTGCCTGGCCCTCTGCTCACACTGGCGTTTTCCACATCCTAACTTTAGTAATTATCAAGTGTGCTACAAGTAAGGCCCTGATATCAAACAGAGGGAAGAGACCAAACTTGGGGAGAAATCCCCAAAAGGTAAAGCTCAATTTTTAATTTGTGGAAGAACAATTACAGATCTAGGAAATTAATTTACTGCTAAGCAGGGGTTTCCTATGGTATAAACCCAATCCAACATAAATACAACCACCAAATTTCAACTTACCTCTCAGAATAACTGTCTTACCATGTGGGTCAGATGAACTATGAAGAGAAATAACTAATCAAATAAACCATCATCTTTTAGGTATAATCTCTATCCAGAGCAGATTCAATAAAGCTAGGAGAAAAGCATTTCAATAAATCAAAGAAATAAGTATTTTAAACACATAATCTCTTGATTATTTCAAAGGATTTCAATTCTGGAACAGTAGTTGCAAAGCCAACTAATAATGAAACTTTTGTGCCCAAAAGTTTCAAAGAAGAACACAAAAGCATACTGAATCCTGCTTTAATTGAAGTTTGTGGACTACAAAGTCTTACAGACACATTACAGAGAGTCTTCTGGATAACAGGGATCATAACAATCCCTGTGGAGAGGAGGACAAGAGTAATAATTCACAGCTCACCAAGGCTTCCCTGTCTAAGTCCTTCAGAGTTCCCAGAAGGTCTCTTTTCCATTGCAGTCCTGTTCCCCATCCTCTCCAATCCTGATTTCACTGTAAGTTTACAGGGGCGGTATTACTTGAAATCATTCTGGCCTTAAATTTGAAACTTAAGTAACTTCGACAAACCAGCTGACCATAACAAGTTATCTTGCTAGTGAATTGGAAATGGACTGAATGATCCTGGATATAATTTCATTAAGGCCTCAAACCATCCAGGAAAGAGTAGCACAGTCACACCATTTTATAATTCAGGTTTACAAAAAGTTTAATACCCAAATCAAGAAAGTTTGTGCCCATAGATCACCACCCCCCAAATAGTTATGTCTCTACTCTTTGTTCCCTTTTGCATATCAAAAATACCAACTTCTTCAGGAGGAATGGACAATCCAAGATTATACAGTAAGCCTGAAGAAGCAAATGTTGAAAAATCTAAAAGCAGGAAATAAACAAAGCTGGTAAGGAAAACAAGAGTTGTTTGCATCTAATTCATTCTAAAACCCAAGATCTGCATTAACCAGTCCTTCCCCTGAAGTTATCTAGCTATTAAAGAGGAGAACCTGGATGTAAAGTCTGTGAAGGAAAGTCTGTGAAGGACCAACTGCCCCGTAGCTGGCAGCCAAGGAAAGAAGAGGTAGCGGTTCCGTGGTTAGTGATAAGTGCCTGGGTAGCCAGTCCCTCTTCTCTCGGCCTGAATCAACCAATATAGATGCGATGGAAATCGTTGGCCCCAAAAGCGGCGTTACACTTGGGACATTTGCGCTGGCGGGTGTCGTAGCGTGTCTTCACACACTCAAAGCAGAAAACATGGAAGCACTTGGTAAGTACAGCATCCTTTTTACGCATGTTGCAACACGGACAGGTCAGGCGTGCCTACAAAAGGGAAGTCAGAGCATGAGTGACCATAAACAATGACCATCTGTTAATGACCCCAATATACTCTCACATATGAGAAAACTAAGAACAAAAAGCACCACTAAGCACCAAGACAGCCACATACTACGGTCCCCATTCCCAGGTTACCTTCACAGAAAAGAAGTTAACACTATTCTCCCAGCCCATCAGGAGGCCATTTCTGGCCTTGACCAAAAAAACACAACCTTATAATCCTTAATCTCCTCCATCAGAATTTCATCACACTTGGGTCCGTTATCTGGTTTCTTTGTAGTGTCCAGCTTCTTCCGGAGTCTAGAGATGTCTTCCTGCAGTAGGACAGCATACCCATTAGAGTCATTCCCCAAGATACGCCATTTTTTGAGAAAAACAATTGCTCCAAATTGAACTTTCTTTTCTGGAAAGGTCTTTCATGCCAAATTATCTTTTAGGAATATTGGAAATTAACAAATGACAATGCTTTGGTTTCAGGACAACCACAATCATTATCACCAAACCGAATGCAGCTGACTATCCATAACTCAGTTCTGTGAAAATATAAGACTTTAGATAGTATAAATTTACAAAAAATAGTTATTTAAAGGTAATTAATTTTAAGTTGAAGGTAGATGAGATTAAAACAATTTACAGGTTTATG